AATGTCATTTCAGCTTGGCATCGAAGCTTATATAAAATCAATCATGCCATTCATCATAAATTTATTCAAATTAGTTTACTTTACTTTTTTTATTTATAATGATGGATAGAATAAATAATCCGTTTTAACATTGACACGTCTTAAATTTATTTTACATAATTTTCGGTCTAAAATATAAAATTAAAAAAATTTATATGTATTTTTAGTACCAAATAAAAAAGTTAAAATTTCAAAAACACAACTGATATTGATTAATGCATTATAAAGTCTTTAATTTGATAATTAAAATATAAAAAATTAAAATTTTGATGGATAGTCCTACTAAGCTGTGGACGTAGATATTTTATTGTTAATACAATAAAATAAATAATAATAGATACAATAACAACAAAACTATTGGAAAAACCAATGTACTATTTATGCTCTTAATATATAACCTGACGTGTTCCATTGTTGTGTTTGTTTTCACAGCATCGGTCATACGGTAGTCGTGAGACTTGACCAGAACACTAAACACTAGGATACATATGAATGATGACATGATATTGAAGATTTATAAAAGCTTAGGATTTTGCACAGTACGTCGACATTTTTCGTGGTAAATAATCAGGGTTGTTAAAAAACAAATTTGTTTAAAACATCACATAAGACCAATGTAATTTTTGAAATTTTTAAATACGTTTAAAAAGAGCAAAGTTTAACGTAACTACTCTCTAAGTAATATTATAACACAAGTATTCTATACATAATTACAATTGTATTTTAAAAATAGGTGCTCAAAGTTATTAATTAAAAAAATTATATGTAGGTTTACATAAAAAAAAATGTAATATCAAATAAGTTTAAATACCGTCAATACCAACAACTTATTAAAAATGACGTGAAATTTAATACAATTGTATTTAATTTTTAATCGTTACAAACTATAAAAATACGCTATTTGGAGCCAATCTAAAATTTCGAACAAATAATTTAATTAAATATTGTTTATTAACTTTTTAATGTTATTTATTAATATTATATTGTTTAATAAGTGTAAACTTAATTTAAATAATTTAATTTTTACTTAATATTATGTATAATTATTTTATGGACACTAATATAGGGCAAATATTAGTAAAATCAAATCTGTTTCGATTTTGGGTTGAGTTTAATAAATTTTACAAGGTGAAGTTTAATATTTTCTTTTATTACAGTACGTGCATATTTTTACTGAACCATTCAATACCAGGGGTGTTTCGTTTAAAAGACTTCTTGCTTAAAACAATGTTTTAAACGTATTTAAAACCAAAAATGTCAAAATTTACATTGATCTTACGGATGATTTAAATGTCTAAATTGTTTATTTATATTTTTAACAGATTTTTTATATAGAAAACTTTAGACTTTTCTCAACTATAACTTTTGGAGAAGTTATAATTGTACTTATTATAGCTTAAACAAAAAAGTTACAATACTAAAGTTTAAAGGTTAACTAGTTTTTAACTGTCGTTAATTTTTAAAAAAATTTGATATCTTTTTTTTAAACCTTTGTAATTAAAGTATTTATTAAATTATTTTTTCAAGTCGAAAAAAATGTTTTTGTAAGTTTACTAAACTTATCACTGTCGGTTATCACTAATCCCCTCGTATTTTTAACATCGAGTCGTCATATTCGATGACGGTACTCGTGTCCCCCCCCTACTTCTAACAACACGACCACATCTACATTAAACCGGTTGGCCGTCTGCCTTTCCCCCACGTCACCGTAAACCATCATCATCATTAAAAAGGCGGAGGAGGAGGAGATTACTATACGGCTTACTATTACTATACTACTACTACTACTACTATTACTATTACTACTACTACTACTACTACTACTACTACTGCTGTACTACTACTATACTACTACAAACATACGGGTACAGACTCTTCTCGTAAAACTGGCCTTGATCTCTTAGACCCTCGGGGTCACGTCCAATAAAACACGTGTGGACGCGTTGCTGCACTTGTTCTCACTCACTCTTCTTTCCATAATATTACAAACAACTGCTGCACTTCACTATGAGGATAAGATTCACCGTAATAACATGTTCAAATTATTATTCGTTTCTAGACGGATGAGGTGTGCGAGTATATTTAATAATACACACCGAGAGAAATATACAAATAACCAGTAAAATTAGCCCGCGGTCAGACGTTATGATAACAATTTCTTTTAATAACAAACGATTTAAAACATATACAGATGGCCGTTATATTTACAAGACATAAAACTTAATTATTAATAGAGTTACAAAATCAAGATGTAACTACTGGATTTTCTAACGATTTCATTGCCTCTTCAGATAACATATATTCAACAAAACGCTTTATTTTTACTTTTCGCGTTTGTGATTTTTTATATTTATTTACAAATATACAAATTTTATAACTACCAATAAATTATTCATCAGATAAAATATCAAATGAACAATGCAATTTATTTTTTATGCTAATACAAAAATATTATTCAAATAAAGTTGAGCTGTTATGTTTCAAAATGATAAATTTAATGACAATTAAAATTATGAGTATTAAGTACAATATATAATTAAGTTATAAAGTTTTTTGCTATGGTATTATATAGTAGCTCTATTTTACTTAATAATAAAGTAAATTTACATTGAGGTGCTTATTAATTTGTGTATTTTATTTTTTACTCAAAATACTCCATTTTAATTATTACCATAATATATTACAATTAAATTGGTACATTATATATTAATAAAGTTAGAAGCAATTCATACAGTAGATGTTTGGACATTAAAACGTTCTATTCAAGTACTAAAGCTTTATTTAGTATTGTTATAGAATTATATTTTTAAATATTATATCAATTTAAATAATAAAAAAATTATTATATTTTAACTTCCTATTTATCAGCTCAGGAGATATCAAATCATCCAGTGTGAAAATCTTCACGGTTATATGTTATCGATGTACACAGTTTTTTACTCTCAATTATAATCTATTTGAATAGACTTTTTTTCATACAGATTTCCATAATTTTATAAGAATACTCGATTATTTTCCAGAACCCGTTTAAACTGCGTTGAGGATAGAGTAACGCTGTTATAACCCACCCCTCAGTCGTCCTGATAAAAACACACAACGTCAAATACAGTTCAACGAACGGACCGACGACAGGCTCCTTCGTTTGTTTGTTTCCGTCACGTTTGGATATACAAACAACATATAAAACAAGTACTGTGGTCATTTTTTTATATACGTATCTTCTTTGAGCACAGTATCGTTGATTTAAATGGCTGTTTGTTACAATTAAAATATATATATATATATATACGTCAATCTATTTATAATAAATATTAGTATGTCTAATTAGTTATATTTAGTTAATAGTATAATCATTTAATATATATTGATAAAACTTATATCTAACATTATTTATATTACTCAACTCGAAATAAACAAAAAAAAGGCGATAGTAATTTCTATAGTACCAAATATAAAATAAAAATAATATACTGCCAAGTAATTTTAACGATAACTTGTTTATATCATTAAGAAACAGATATATTTTTATAAAAATGTGAATAGTTAAATTTTTAAATGCGCATTACTTTTATAATTATTTCTAACCCATTTTTAGATATCTCATTGAAATTTATTGAGTACAGTTCATTATTATAATATAAAAATAGTGTATATTTAATATTTTTCAGGAAGATGGTCTTACTAAGTACTATGTGTTTGAAATACATAAAAAAATATCAAAATGTCCTGCCTTTCATATTATAAATAATATAAAATTTTAGGGATAATCAGACCCCTTACTTCTGTAAAACCACTATTGGATGTAATAGAATATGATTTTATGATTTCCTAATTTTTAGCTTCGATGCGAAGCTGAGAAGGTATTAATTTTACCATGATGTGTTTATTTATTTATTTATTTTTTTGTGTCTGTCACTACTTTTTCTCAGCTCTCACTGGACCGATTTCTTTCAACAATACGTCAAAAGATCACAAATCGTATCTAGTTGAAGATATTACCTTTAAAAATTGAAAAATTTTCCCTCGTTCCCCAGAAATGGGGGAAATATTCAAAAAAATTACAGATTAAAAATCGCTAATTTTCGAAATTTTTTCAATTTTTTTTACTAAAAACTGCTGTAACTTTTTCAAAAATGAATATATCAATATAATTTTTTATTTTATAAACGCTTGATGTTTTTACCTACCATTTGGAATATTATTTTTGTAAATCTGACACTTAACCTGCTCACAGGGGGGGATTTAAAATCATTGATAGTGATTTTAATCACTGTCAGATATCATTATATTTGATCCAACTATGCCACGTCACCACTGTGCCACGACCCACCTGTGCTGGGTTTTTTTTTGTGCATATACAATATATATTTATATATATTTACAACATATATTTAAAAACTTATACACTTTTAAAATAAAATTACCATAATTTTGTTATATATATCAGGTACTAATTCAATAGAAAAATTGTAATTATTATTTTGATTTATAATATTTTAACTATAATAATTTTAGAATCAGTTTTACTTTATTTCTTATGTACCAATGAACACTTGTAAAAAATTAATTTGTTATAGTTTTATATTTATAGAAAAACTTTGAAATTTACAAAAAAGAATTATTTATCCAAATAATTATTTAATACTAAAGTTCATTTTTTTAAAGAATTTAATCAATTTATGTACAAGAAAGTCATCGCGAGTGAGTAATCAGTTTAATTATCACTAATACAAGTAAAATGAATTATTTTAGTATTATACACATTATATTATTGAACATAACAATTTCCAATGCAATTATTGTTCCTAAGACTAATGAACTATTTACGAATATTGAACATCAAACTTTTGTAACCAATGACGATTTATATCAACTTATAAGAACATATCCAGCATTCCTTCAGCTAACATTACGAGAAAATAAATATTACACTGGTAGTGATGCATCTCTTTGTCCTCTACCTTATGATGAAAATACACTGTTGGATGATCCTGATGTTGAGAAATTACAATATTTTGACCCGAGAAAATGTGAAAAGCCGTGGACGTGGACGCAACAAAATCAAATTATTGTTCCTGTTCAAAAAGAATTTACCATTAACAAAAGGTTAGGGAAACTGATTTTTCGAAATAACAATTTAGAAATTATTCAGAGTTATACTCATTATCTGAATACTATGGAAAGTGTTGGAATAACTTTAGTCGATAGATTTTGTTTGTTTTTAATGGAAGTCATGGATAGAATCGATGATTTCTCTCATGCTTCAATACGTCTTCCATTATCGAATAGAACTGTATTTTACCTAGTAGGAAACTTAAGCATTTATTACTTTAAAAAGTTATTAAGACATATATATGATACATTTAGGAAGTACTTCATTTCTACATTACCTCTTGACTGTATTTCGAATGTTCTGAAAGAGATTTATCCAAATGACGAATTAAATAACTTTGATGGTATACCAATTCTTAAAAATAATATTGAAAAATACAAAGCGCAATTATTAGAATGCAGAAAACTTACACATTTAAAAAGAAACTATGCTATTCTTATAAATGATGACTTGTGGGAGCACGATATCATTTCAAAGGATATACCTGACAATCAAGATTTAATAACATTATATGAAGACAATGTTGAAAAAATAGCTACACTTTTTAATGTGGCAAGAGTTTCTTTATTTGTTTATTTATAATTCTAATTTTACAATTAGTTTTTATAAAAATGATATTTAGTATTACATTATGTTATCATATAAATTAAGTATATTTTGTTGATTAATATTTAAATATTTATTATTATTAAATGCTATATCATAATTTAAATACATTTTTCTCATCTCTCACTGGACTGATTTCTTTCAAAAATACGTCAAAAGATCACAAATCGTATCTAATTGGAGACATTACCCTTAAAAATTGAAAAAAATTCCTTCGTTCCCCGAAAATGGGGGAAATATCCAAAAAAATTACAAATTTAAAAATCGGTAAATTTTATCATTTTTTTCACTTTTTTTTCTTAAAACTTCCATAACTTTTTCAAAAATCAACATAGTTTTTTTTATACTAATACCTTAGATATTTCATTTTCATTTGATATAATTTTTTTGAAAATCAATCACTTAATTTGCCTAGGGGGAGATTTAAAATAGCAACTTTTTTACAAAAATTAACTTTTTCAACTTAATTTTTGAAAATGTTCCGGAAATACTGCGTCTTTCAAACATATATCAAATTAAAGCTTATTTTATGTACATAAAATGAAAAAAAAAAAATTTGTCCCGACGACCTACAATGTTCTACATTTAAACGACTGCCGTAGTTAAAAAAACACTATTTTTTGTTAAAATTTTCTATTTTAAATTTTCAACTTAAAAATGCTATAACTTTTTGAAAAATGTATATATTAGCACAAAGTTTTTTTTCCTAAATACATTATAAATTCATTTTTCATTTGGCACACTTTTTATTAAAATTAGACAATTTCTCTTTATATAGGGGGGTTTAAAACTTGAAATATTGTAAAAAACATAGATCTTTTTCAACTGAACTTTTGAAAATGTTCTTTAAATACTGCGTCCTTTAAACATATATCAATTCAAAGGTATGTTGTATACTATCAAATGAAAAAAAAAAATTTGTCCCGACACCTTATCTTCTATGTGCAAATGGCTGTCAAAAATTAAAAAAAAATGTAATGTTTGCGATAAAAATCACCTTTTATTGGGATGTTTTTTGTACTTAAAACTGCCATAACTTTTTCAAAAATGAACAAATAAAAAAAATATTTTTTTGAATTGAAACGTTAGATATTTTCCTTTCATTTGATATAATTTTTTTTGAAAATCTAACACTTAATCTGCTCACTGGGAGGATTTAAAATAGTAACTTTTTTACAAAAAATAACTTTTTCAACTTAATTTTTGAAAATGTTCCCGAAATACTGCGTCCTTTAAACATACATTATATTAAAGCTTATTTTATGTACTATAAAATAAAAAAAAAAAATTTGTCCCGACGACCTATCTTCTATGAGCAAATGGCTACCATATTCAAAAATATGCTATTTTAACAAATTTTTTTTTTTTTAAATTAAACACTATCTACAGATTTGCATCGAAGCGTTTTTTATGATGGTGATTTTAATCACTGTCAGATATCATCTATATTTGTCCCAACTATGCCACAATCCCAGTGTGCCGCCACTCCACTGTGCTAGGTTTTTATATATATATAAATGATAAAATTATACAATACAGTTTTATTTATTATTAACACGAAACAAAAAAATTTGTCAAGATATTAAGTTATCAAATGAATATTTCTTGATAAAATAATAAAGATAATAAGATTTACTGAAACAATATTTACTACACAATAAATAATTTCGATTTTTTATATTTATGAATTAATAATTATTATTTTACAATTATTTTATATAAAAATAAAATTAAGTATTGCATTAAACTACTTTATTATGTTATCATATAAATTATCCTTATTTTTTTATTTATAATAAAACTGCAAATATCTCTAATAGAAAATTTAGATTTTTTTCTTGAAATTTTAAAAATTGTATAAACCAAAAATTAACTCAACCATTATTTATTGCCTAATTTTTTTATTAATTTAAAAAAATTACATAATTGTTATTATCAAAAACATCGTGAAAATCTTGTGTAAACAGTTCTGTAAATTATATTTTTATATGAATTATTATTATAATACGAAATTATAGTCATTCTCTGCTAAAGGATTTGCCTTATCGTTGCCCAGTTGGATTTGTATATCTTGAGGAAATTTAAGTGCAGTGGTTTCTCGTTCCCTTCTGCACTGGGAACATAGTGCTTTTTCGCCACCGTAAAATCGTATGTATGGTCACCCATCCGTTCACCTACGCCAGTAGGCGCGACTTAACACTAGAGTTTTGTCAACAACTAGTGTGACCACCACGCCACGCCACACCGAAATTACAGTAATCATCATAATTTAATTAAAGATCAAAGTATGTAATGGAAATTCGATATTACTGTTATTTAGGTTAAATTCGAGTTAGCTTAAATAGCCAATTTTATCATTCTACAAAAGCAACGAACCGTTGCCGAATGGGTAACACCTGCGTCTTTCACGCTAAGGGTACATTTAGTAATTTGCATTTTTTTTTAAGTTAGAATAAAAGTTTCAAATCATTTGATATTTATCTCATTTAGATTCAATAACTTCAATAAATATAAAGGATCCTATCACTATAGTCTCCCCTCGTGAGAAGAAATTTATATTCATGTAATATTATTTTACTATGTAGTTCTTTTCGTGGCTACGATTTATTTTGCCAACCCTTACTAGACCTGTTTTTTTCAACGATATGTCAAATGATTACATTTCGTATTTAGTTTAAGTTATTACTCTTAAAAATCGAAAAAATATTAGCTTCGATGCGAAGCTGAGAAGGTATTGGTTTTACTATGATGTGTTTTTTTTTTATTTTTTTATTTTTTTGTGTCTGTTACCACTTTTTCTCAGCTCTCACCAAACGGATTTCTTTCAACGATAAGTCAAAAAATCACAAATCGTATCTAGTCGAAGACATTACCTTTAAGAATNGATCACAAATCGTATCTAGTTGAAGACATTACCCTTAAAAATTGAAAAAATTTCCCTCGTTCCCCGTAAATGGGGGAAACTTCCAAAAAAATTACAAATTTAAAAATTGCTAATTTTCGAAATTTTTTCAATTTTCTTTACTAAAAACTGCTGTAACTTTTTCAAAAATGAACATATCAATATAATTTTTTTTTCATAGATGTTTTATGTTTTTATCTATCATTTGATATATTTTTTTTTGTAAATCTAACCCTTTATCTGCTCACAGGGGGGGGATTTAAAATGACAACTTTTTCACAAAAAATTAACTTTTTCAACTTAACTTTTGAAAATGTTCCGGAAGGTCTGACACTTTTATATATATCTTAATATACTATAAAATATAATTTTTCAAATTAAAGTAAAATACTTTAATTTGAAAAAAAAAAATTTGCCCTCTGGACTTGTCTTCACGGAGAAAATGGCTATCGAATGCTATTTTCGTGTGAAAATTCTCGATTTTATTTTTTATATTATAGTTAACTTAAAATGCTATAACTTATTGAAAAATGTATGTATCCACACAATTTTTTAATTATAATTGATCCAACTATGCTACGTCACCACTGTGCCACGACCCCCCTGTGCTGGGTTTTTTTTTTATTTAAACCAAAAGTTAATTAGAAATGATTACTATGATTATTATATTTATATAATAGATTACTTATAAGTAATCTATTAGGATAAAAATGTAAAAAAAAACGAACTTTTCTGATAAATGTACTGTAAATAGTAATTATAAAATTTCATGATTGCATTAATCTTAATCATTAATCTGATATTAATCTTAACAATTTCATTTTTAGCTTCGATGCGAAGCTGAGAAGGTATTGGTTTTACTATGATGTGTTTTTTTTTTGTGTCTGTTACCACTTTTTCTCAGCTCTCACCGAACGGATTTCTTTCAACGATACGTCAAAAGATCACAAATCGTATCTAGTCGAAGACATTACCCTTAAAAATAGAAAAAAATTCCCTCGTTCCCTTAAATGGGGGAAACCTCCAAAAAAATTACAAATTTAAAAATCACTAATTTTCGAAATTTTTTCAATTTTTTTTACTAAAATGTGCCGTAACTTTTTCAAAAATGAACGTATCAATATAATTTTTTATTTTATAAACGCTTGATGTTTTTACCTACCATTTGGAATATTATTTTTGTAAATCTGACACTTAACCTGCTCACAGGGGGGGATTTAATATGACAACTTTTTCACAAAAAATTAACTAAGAGTAACGCTGCTATAACCCACCCCTCAGTCGTCCTGATAAAAACACACAACGTCAAACATAGTTCAACGAACGGACCGACGAAAGGCTCCTTCGTTTGTTTGTTTCCGTCACGTTTGGATATACATATACAACATATAAAACAAGTACTGTGGTCATTTTTTTATGTACGTATCTTCTTTGAGCACAGTACCGTTCATTGATGTAGGAGTTCAAATATAGTTGATATTCTTGCGTATTTATTCGCTGTTCTCTCAAACATTGTTTGTTGATATTTCTATTTAATTCATCATGAAAAATCTTATTGTTACTTGTTAGTTTTTATTTAGAGAGAAAAGAAAAACAACGTGTTCATTTTTTAATAAACAATTATCATTACGTATTTCATTTCTTTTAAAACATAACCAACCAACTATTTTATCTTCTTATCACTTTGTTAGGCATGACAACATTTTTCCAGCGCCGCCACCACATAACGCGAATGTAGAAGTCCCACACGATGATGCCGCATATTATACAATAATACGAGTAATAATACAATAATAGTACATTTACAACATTTCATCTAAACTGTACCATTACGTCTGCCCCTAAAATAAGAAAAAAACGTGGCAAACCGTTGGACCTAACATAAGGTTTTGACGCGTTTTTCTTAGTAATTATTTTCTGTGTAATATTGTTTTAGGTGTGAAACATGAAACATACCCCTAACAATACTTTTACCTTTATTTTCACTACACACTATGTATGTGGATTTTTGTACTTTTTTCGTTATTGTAAATGGGCCTTCAAAAATAGGCATTAATTTTGTAGCTATATTTTTGTTTTTACAACTAAGATTTAATGATTTTATTAATACTCTATCACCTACCTTAAATTCTTTTAGTTGTGTCTTACCTTTGTTAGCTTTTTCTGCTCTCCGCACTTCTTTTTCCTTTAACCGTTCATTCAAAAGTTTTCTCAATTGCTCTTCTGATGTACTTTCGATCGTATTTACACACTGGTCTAGCCATTGATTCCACAATCTTTCTGGTAATTTATTAAATTGTACTTCATACAGTGTCATCTCTAATGTACTATGGTAAGTTTCATTTAACATTTTTTCCCCGC